CTCTGTGCCAGGCACTATGCTAACTACCTTACAAATATTATCTCAATTGGCTTTCAGAACAACTCTGAGGAGTAGATGCTATTATTATCTCCAATCCTACAGTTGAAGAAACTGAAGCAAACAGAGGTTAAGTGAATTGCCCAGGGTCACACAGAAAGTTAAGTATCTGAAGCACATTTGAACTCAGGTCTTCCTGACTCCATCCCAAGTTGTCCACTATGCCACCTAGTTGCCTCTAGGCATTATGTAAAATGTACATATGTATTACACAACGTGTATTATGCAACAACAATATTAATAGTAATAATAGCTAGCACTTATAAAGTGCCTCAAGATTTGGTAAGTCCTGTACATATTATCTAATTTAATCATCCCAACAACCTTATAAGACAGGTGCTATTAGTATACTCATTTTACACATAAGGAAACTGTCACTGAGAGAGGTTAAGTCACTTGCCCAGTAAGCATGAGAAACAGGATTTGAACTCAGGCCTTCCTGACTCCAAGTCCAGTGTTATTAACCACTCTACCATCTAGTTGCCTCAATAACAACGATAAAGAAAAAAACAATTTTCAAAGACTTAAGATGTCAATGCAATGACCAACTATGATTCTAGAGGTCTGGCAATGAAGCATTACCGACCTCCTGAGATGGGATGGAGTCAAGATGCAGGGCGAGATGTTGACATCTTTGGGAAAGGCATTTGTTTTGCTTGACTATGCATATTTGGTATAAGGGTCTTGTTTTTCTTTTTCTTTTTCTTTTTCAACTAGGACAGGAGAAAGGGAGAAGGAAAAGGGAGATAGCAATAGGGTTGTATAAAAAAAAAAAGGTAAAATCATTGAAGCATTTTTCCATGCACAGAAAAGAACAAGAGGAAGGTGCAAAAGAAACAGACAAGCAGAACAGCTTTGAAATTTACATGTTGAATTTATTATATACTTACAAGGAAAGGCAAGTTGTACATAAGAGAGTCACAGTTCCCTCTACAATCCTCCTTTTATGTTCAGCATGGTATATGGGAATGCTCACTTTATTTGGTGTTTAAAATAAAGTTGTTTTCAAAGAAAAGAAAGATAACATAATGAGACTGAGAACTAGATAACAACCTGTCCACATCTGCTCATCTGGTGAGACTCTCTTACCCAAAATGAGAAAGGGAAGGTGTCTTACCAGTCAGGCCCCTCTGCTACCATCAACAGGTGATCACAGGACAGGGAGACTGCTGTGGGGGTGCCCACGAGAAAAAGTCACTTTTCCAATTGCACCTGTACAGCAGCTGCCATCAGCACTCAGGCGGTAGGTTAGGCTATAACTGCAGACAAAAGAGGAAGCTGGGATCTTCAGAGGGAGAGTACAGAATAAATTATCAGGGGTGAAGAGTAGATGTGTTGTTAGAGACAAGTCCCGTAATTGGCTACTGTAGTGGAAAAGTTGGCAACTTATTTTCCCCCTCTCCAATTGTTTGATTACATACCCCTTTAGAATCAGGCCCTGACCCCTACTTTGGAAACCAATGCTACATTCAATGAGAAGACGCTTCAGGCCCCTTAGTGAGGTGGTAAAGGGTGATAATATATGATAACAAATTATAATAATTATGATACATGATAATAATAGAAAGACATAAGGAGGCAACCTCTTACAGGAAAAAGAACTTTAGACTCAGGATCAGGAGAGATTTAGGCACTTGTTATCTGTAAAATCAAAAAGCAAGTCCCTTAATTTCTCTGATTTTGATTTTCTTCAGCTGAAAAACAGAGGTAACAATACTTGTAGCACTTACTACATACAGAGTAATAGTAAAGATCAAATGAAATGATGATAGTAAAGTACTCTGCAAACCTCAAAGCACTGCTTAAATGCCAGCTGACAGTACAGCAATGTTTTTAGAAAGACTAAACTGGTAGGGGTAGGATAAGATAAGTACACAGGAATTAGGATAATCTCAATTTGGAAAATAATATCGTATCCTAGGTATGATAAGCACCTAGAACTGGGCAGTGAAGGTGGTAAGTGAATGGAAGAAATGAAAGACTTTATGAAGAAGAACAGATAAAATTTATAGTGACTGGCTGGATATGAGCTGAGAAGGCAGAAAAGAGGATGACTACAAGGTTTCAAGCCTCACTAACCAGAAGAACTGATGGTACCACTAACAGTAACAGGCAAATGGAGGGAGGGGAAGGCCAGAGAACACTTCTAAGAAAATATTCTAAGTTCCATTTTAGACATGCTGAATTTTACATGCTTAGCAAGATATTCAGGTGGAAATATGTTAAGTAGGAAGTTGGGGTGAGAAGTATGGTCTATGGCTGAAGATTAAGAATCACCGTTAAAAGTGACAGATGAAGTGGCAAGAATGAATCTAAAAGAGACAACAGAACAAAAAAAGAGGAGGATCAGAGACTGAGCTCTGAGAAGGAAAAAACTGCGACAGAAACTGAGAAGAAATAGAACAAGAAGTAGGAGAGCCAATGAAGTATCATGGGAGCCACAGAAGGATGAAGTTTCAAGGACAAGATGATCAACGGTGTTCAATGTTACAGTGAGATCAAGAATGAAGACTGACAAAAGGCCACTGGATTTGGTAACTTTGGGGACAACAGTTTTAGTAGAGTGACTGGTTCAAAAACTACACTGCTAGTGATTAAGGAGTAAGTAGTAAGAAAAAAATAGAGGCAACATATAAAGACTTCTTTTCAAAGAGTTCTAATATCACATGGTTAATGTTTTCATGTCCCATGAAACAGCCTGGCATAGTGGATTTGGGGCTCAGGTAGACGTGAGTTCAAATTCAGACATTCACTAGGTATATGATCAAGGGAATGCTATTTAATTTCTCTGAGCCTCAATTATCTCATCTGAAAAATGAGAATAATAACAATAATAACAACAGAACCGATAGTACCTACCTGACAGTGTTGATATGTAGCTATAATGACATGAGGTAGATGATGTGCTTTACAAACTTTAAATAGCTCTAACAAATGCCAGCTAGTTTATTATTTTAAGGAAACAAGAAGGAATTACGATACAAAACTATATATGGCTAAGAATCATCAATATCATTTGTTGTTGTTCAATCAGTTTAGTACTGCTTGTCTTCATTCTTCCTTAGACCTAGAGATCAGACTCAGCCATCTTTAAAAAGCCATGATTGAATCACTACCTTTTTCTCTTCTTGACTTTTCTTCTGCATTTTTCTGCCCTTTCTTGTACTGTTATTTTTTAGTCTTTCCCATCTTGTTTTTATTCTCTATATTTCTTCATTATTTACTCATTCTCATCATCCTACTTTCTGAATATTACCCACTTATACCTCTGGATTATACAACTAGATTCCTAGTTTCTATAACAATAATGCTGTGGTCTAAATATTACATTTATTTTCAATACCTCCTTCACAGCACTACAATACTTAATTTACATTTTTAAAGCACATTGTTTAAATTTCTATTATATTTTTAAATGATTTAACACCTATTTGTAGGGAATTACCATTTCAGTTCTCTATCTGAGGTTCTTTATGCAAATATCATCATTACCCCCCTCTTGTGAAAGTGCAGTACTCTTCCACAGACCATAATGACTCACCGCTTTTTAGGAGCACCTTGCTTTGGGGATTTGCTGATTACTATCTGCTTTAAGCTGTTACACCAATCATTCATATTCCTTCCTTGGTGAGTTCCTTGCTGAATAAGCAAACCTATCCTAAGCATCCTTCTCTTCAGTGGGGTAAAAAATGCCATTGAGAGAATAAATTCCCTAATTGATGACTACTACAAAAGTCGATTTCCCTTAGGTATAGCATATCTATATAAAAGTTAAATCTAAGTCCTAAAATAGAAATGGGGTTTTAACAGAAACACATGGGGGGTCACTGAAGGCACAATAAATTTGAAATGGAATTTTAAAGAAATCAAGCCACCTTCAACATTTCCACCAAGGCAAATATACACAACTCCTATTAACAGATTTACAGAAAACGTAACAGTTTATGTAGATGAATAGGCCTTCAGGCACCAGACTACCACAGGTACCCTAACAAAAATTGTATTCTTTATAATAAAATCCCAAAGCAAAACAGAAAAATCTTTGAAGTGTCCAATTTCTCTACCCTTCTGAGTCATTTCAATTAGTAAGGGACTGTGCAAGACAGTGCTGTTAGGTAGAAAGAACACATTATTTGGAGTCAAAGGACCTGAGTTCAAATTCCTCCTGTAACTAATTTCTCAACGATCTTGGGGGAAGTCACTGCATCAATCTAGGCCTCAGTTTCATCTCAAAACTAAGAATGTTGGACTAGAAGACCTCTAAGGTCTATTTTAGCTCTAAAGCTAAATTAGATATAGTTGGTAGTACAGTGGATAGATCACTTGGCCTACAGTGAGGAAGACTTGAGTTCAAATATGGCTTCAGACACTTAGTAGCTGTGTGTCCCTGGGCCAGTCACAATCTCTGTTTGCTTCAGTTTCTTTGTCTAGAAAATGGGGATAATAACAGCACCTAACTCACAGGGTTGTCATGAGGATCAAATCGGATAATATTTGTAATATGTTTAGCACAGTGCTTGGTACAAAGTGTGCACAACTTATCTCCTTCCCACTATGCTTATCTCCTTCTCTTCCCCTTCTTCTAAATCTATGATTCTATGATGCTAGTGAGTTATTCAAAGGGAAGTTCATAGTCCTATTTTGTCAAAGAGAAATGATGGGAAATTAATTCTAACTTCCTTGGATCAGGCACATTATTCATGTTTGAGAAACAATCTGCTAGGAATGAACTGGCATGGATCAAGGAATTCTAAGAAACTGGTAACATTTGATTCTGACAAAACAATAATGTAGGTTATTAGCTATGAGCAGACACACGTTATTACAACACATAATAAATTATGTATAAAAGCATTCAAATTAATGATGTATCTTATAAATTAAGTAGATATGGCCTAGCTCTTTTCATGAAAACCAGAACATTCTGTTTTGTCTATCCTTACCTTTTGTTGGACTCAGGTTCTGATCTATAAATCCTTTGAGTTCTCCATTTATAGAAGTCAGACCAACCTAAATAAAGTATTTTTAAAAGAAAATTCTGTTAAAAAAGATAAGTGATAGTATCCAAGTACTTTAAAAACTGCTTCATATGTTCCATCAGATTGACACACATTACTACAAACTATTAATACCCACATTAGTGAAAAGGGGATTAAAAAAGGCAAATGATATCAAATGTGGCCACAGAATGACCATTCACAACCATGAGAAATAATGGTTTCCATTTATGTATAATTGTGAATATTGTGGAAGAAAATGTGAACATAATGTTATGAACTCTGCTATCAATCAATAAAAATTGCTTCAATGAAAACCTTGTAAAATCTAGGAGACCCAAAGCTGCCTACAGGCACTGAGACTTTGCCATCATGAATTCACCTGATTTTTGCTTTTCTTTCTTTATTATGGAAAAATAAATTCTCTTCAGATGATCAGAATGTTATCATACCATAAGTCAAATGGAGCAGATAAACTTTACAAATGCTTAAGGGCAAGATATCTCCTATCTCTAGTCACCTTTGGGGAATCTTCTTAACATTTAAAGGGATATCCAAAGGACACATCCTACATCACAGAACTAAACATGGAGAGAATAGTCAACAAAAGTGATCATAATTTATTAAAAGAGCAAAAGAAGAAAATTCTATATTTATAACAATGAATGGTGATAGTTTTACTAAAGCTGTACAAGTACACCAAAGCTTATGAATATTAATTGGGCATATTTATATTAGATTCAACACTAATGATTTTTCAGTTAACTCTTTTATCTATACTAGTGAAAGGAACTATATTACAGTTGATTTAAAATACAAGCTAATAGAAGCATACACACATATCTGGAATGTGTTCTGGAACATATATTTAAATACAGTTGTCATATTCTGGGAAGTCATGATAAATCAAATAAACTAATGAAGTCCCCATGTAAAGCTATAACTAGGGAGAATGGAGACTATTTCTTTATTCCACCCCATACTCCATTACTGTTTCCTGATCCCTATTCAATCACTGGGTATAGAGAGCATTATATCTTAGTCTGATGATTTTTAAAATTGTGGGTTCACATGTTCGTGGAACAAAGAGGTAAGTAATTAAAATTTGTTTCCAAAGCACTTTCTCCAACTAATTGGAGGCTAAAGGAAATGATGCCAAATTGAACAAGGTTGTTGAGAGGACAAAGGGCTTAAAGAACATTTGGGAAAGGAAAATGATAAATGTTGGAGAAAATGTGGGAAAATTGAGATACTAATGCACTGTTGGTGGAGTTATGAAACTATCCAATCATTCTGGAAAGCAATTTGGAACTATGCCCTAAGGCCAACCTAATTGTGCATATACTTTTTTTTTGTTTGGGGAGGTGCTAGGCAATGTGTTAAGTGTTATGTGTCAGAGGCCACATTTGAACTCAGGTCCTCCTGAATTCACAGCCAGTGTTCTATCCATTGCCCCACCTACCTGCCCCTGTGCATATGCTTTGATCAAGCAATAGCACTACTAGGTCTGTATTCCAAAAAGATCATAAAAAAAGTGAAAAGGACTTACATGTACAAAAATATTTATAGCAGCTCTTTTTGGGGGTGGCAAAATATTGGAAATTGAGAGGATGCCCATCAATTGGGGAATGGCTGAATAACTTGTGGTATATGAATGTAATGGAATGCTATTGTTCTATAAGAATGATGAGCAGGAAGATTTCAGAAAAATCTGGAAGGACATGTACAAACTGATACAAAGTGAAATGAGCAGTACCAGGAAAACACTGTACACAGTATCAACAACATTGTGTGATGATCAACTATGAATGACTGAGCTCTTCTCAGCAACACAATGATCCAAGACAATTACAAAGAACTCATGACAGAATATGTTATCCATATCCAGAGAAAGAACTAATGGACTCTGAATGCAGATCGAAGCATACTATTTTCATTTTCTTTATTTTTTTTGTGATCTTTTTTCCTTTTGGTCTATTTCTTCTTTCACAACTATGACTAATATAGAAATGTTTCACGTGATTGCACATATATAACCTATATCAAATTGCTTACCGTTTTAGGAAGAGAGGAGGGAAGGAAGGGAGAAAAATTTGGAATTCAAAATTTTGTAAAAATGAATGATAAAAATTATCTTTACATGTAATTGGAAAAAGTACTATTAAAAAAGGACATCGGAGGGGAAACTATCAATAAATAGGTGTATTATTTTGCATAAATTACTTCCCCCTCTCTGTTTCATTTTCCTCACTCGTATATCAAGATTTGGAATCCTGCAAAATAAACTTCTATGCTAATCTATCACAGAAGGATCAGAATTTAAGAGAACCTTGCAGGACGAGGTTGTGTCAATTCAGAAAGTATATTTGCACATGCTAGAAATGGTAAGATAAAAATTTTAATTGCAAAGTAAAATTATAATATTTGCTTGTAATTATTTGTATTTGCAGAGATAGGAGAAATTGAAGTAAAATTATTTTTTAAAATGTTTGTGTTAATTGACACAATTGATGCTCCTTATCCTAATACATCATAGGATATTTTTTTCTAAGTAAATACTGAGGTTATTTCAAGATATTATCACACTAAAAGGGCTAGAATTCTTTCTATACACAATTAAATTTAACATACACTTATAAAGCACCAACTATGTGCAAGGTGAGAGGCAGTATAGCATAGTGGAAAAAGAACTGCTCTGACTTAGGAAGACATGGGTTCAAGCCCTACATCTGGCACACAATGGCTGTGTAACTCTGGGCAAGTAGCTTAACCTCCCAGTATCCCAGGCAACTTTCTAAGAATATGAGATTCAGAGTAGTTGTGATTTTGCATTGGTAAAGCAGTTTCCTCACGGGGAGTTTTCTACATTAATGAAATCACAAGTCTATTCCTTCCTCTCTCTCCCCCATAACAACAAAAGGGCATGGCACTTTCCTAGCCATACAAACAAGAAAAATGACATTGCTTGGCCCTCAAAGAGTTTACTTCATATTAAAGGGAATATGACATATATTCAGGTAAGTATAAAAGTTAGGGTATGAGAGAGGCAAAGGAGCAATTCAAATAAAATATTCTAGGGAAATCTGAGGGAAGAGAGAATACCTTCATCTGGGAGAGATCAAGGAAGGCTTAAAGGAGGAAGTGGTACCACAGCTCAGCCCTGAAGAAAGAGAAGGATTTTGAAAGGAAGGGTTGAGGAAGGAATGTGTTCTCAGCATAGGCTTGGATGGTTTGAGTGAATATGTTAATGTGGGAGAAAGAATGCTGAGTTCAGAGAATGATTAACAAGTCTAATTTCACAAGAGTGTGTGCTGGGGAGTAATGTGAAATAAGGCGGGAAAGGGAGGAGGAGTCAAACCCTGAAGGTCATTAATTGTCAGGCTGAGGAGTCTGTATGTTATCCTACAGATAACAGGAAGTGACAGATGATTTTTATGCAGGAGAACCGCCACAGTCAAACTTGAACTTTAGGAAAATTATGCTAATAGCTGGATGGGGAATAAACTAGAGGAAGAGAATGAAGACATGGACACCAGCTAAAAAGCCATTACAGTTGTTTAGGCAACAGATAATGAAGGTCTGGACTTGGTGGTGATAGCATTAGGGCAGCAGAATTAACAAGACTTAGCAATTAATTCCACATGAGAAGGTAAAGGAAAGGTAAGAGTCCAAACACACTCTGAAGTTGCAACCCCAGATGACTAGGAGCCTGGTGGCAACAGCAACAGAACAGGAAAGTCAGAAAGAGAGGCAGTTTTGGAAGGCAGATAAAATTAGTTCAGTTTTGAGTTTGTAGCACTGGCAGGAAACCAAGATAGTAATGTCCAATTAGACATCTGAGACCACAGCAATGGAAGTTTCATAGTTTTGTTATATGTGCTTTATCTAATTACTCCTCTACCATTTTTAAATTATTTTCTTCATCAAGATTAAAGCTTGCAATATACATATTCAAGATCTCTGCAAAAAAGCCTTCCATTCATTCTTTTGATTAGTACCACATGTATAGACTCAAACATCCCACATTATTCAAATAACTCTCTAACCCTAATAAAAACTTCCTCCAGAATTTAAGAATATCACTTCTTGTTGGGCAGGACACAGACAACCGGGTAGAAAGCAACTTATTAGAACTCGGTATACAATGATGAAGAGGCTCAACCACACCTTACATTTTGAATAGTTTGTTACAAAGAGAACTCCAAAGAAATTGTCTGAGCTTCCCTACTATTTATATGTTCACTCTTACAAGAAAGCTGAGAAGGAAAAGAAAATGTCATCTCTCTATTCCTCCAGAGTAAAAGTGGAGAGATAAAGACAAAGACTATCCCTTGAACATAGGCCCAAAACTAAGTGAACACTTAATAAATCATGATATTCTAAACTGAAAAGCATCAGCCTATACCTTTTGTTTATGTAAAACGATCAACTGTAAAACCTCAACTAAAACCACAGATTTAAAAGATAGTTTACAGTTGTATAGTTGCTGTTATATCTAAACATCTGCTCTATCGAATGCCTGACTTCTGCAGAGTTAAGAAACAGGAATCTGAAAAAAATTCAGTTGTACATCTGCATCATTAAATAACCATTGAATTATATCGTAAAAGAAATAAAGACAATCATTAGTCAACATATGTACCCAGATTATTCTTATATCGATCATACTATAGAGTATTCTAATAATGAAACACATTTTTTTTTGTAATATGGAACAAAGTGCACAAGCAATTTCTATTTAAATGTGAAACCACTGTCAAAATCTATGCAGCTGGGTGTGCTGCTGGGCCTGTTGTCAGAAACACAGAATTACAACTAATTTCAAGTCATATCTCTGATTCTTGCTGGCTGTGTGACTTTTAACAGCTATGAGCCTCAGTTTTTTTCATCAGTAAAATAGGAATAATTATTATACCAGCCCTACCTAATATACAAAGTTGCTGTGTAGATGTGACAGTGTAGACAGGGATAACTAACTGGACTGAGATTTGGAGAAGGAA